AGAATGGCAGCAGCAGATTTGGCTTGAGATACAGATTGTCAAAAAGCCTAATAACAGCAGCAAATCTGGCTTGAGATATGGGTTCATTGCAGATCCTAGACCATTGTTAGAACACTTTAGAGGAATTAATAACAGACAAACCAAAGATAGGAAGATCATAAGGATCAGACATACCCGAGTAGGACCAATTTGAGAGTAATACAGTGATGAAAAGGTGGGAAATGTGGGAAACAAGGTAATACTAGATATAGTTAGATTAGGAGGCAAAAGAAACAAGACCAGATAAAACATGTAAGTAGGACATATGAGTATAATTTACAGAAGACAGTACTTCTGGCATTTGGGATGCTATATTAAGTTCGGTAGATATCCTTGTCTGTGTAGTAGTTTAATGTATGCCATGACTGCAAGTAGTTGTCAAGGTAACTGTGTGCAGACATGTGGCAAACATGCACTTAGGTGCCATAAGAGTAACTAGGTAAAGTTAGTAGTGTTAAATTAGATAGTATATAGTACTAGTAATAATCAGTCCTAAAAATGTAACTGTAAATTTGTACTATATCAAATTAAGGCTAATAAAAACTAACTGGCATTGTCACCAAAGTTCAAAAAAAAAAAAAAAAAAGTAAATTCTATTACAATATAAAGTTTTAGTAATTTTATTTAATTGATAGAAGTTTATAAATATTTTTAGAAAAATAGATAGATAAATTAAATAACAAATATATGAAAAAACCTTGTACTGACTAGGCTATCAAATTTACTAAAAGAAAAAAATACAAAAATATATTATACTAACTTATTTAAATAAAAGTTAAAAGAATTCTGTTAATTTCAAATAAAAAAATTTAATAAAAAATGATGAAAAAAATATTAGAAAGATAGATATTAAAATTTTAATAAACTTTATAAATATAGAAAATAATGTAATATAATAATTTAATAAATAATACCTATAATTGCAAGTGTTAATCTAACTATAACATATTATATAAAACTAAATTAGTTGTATATAAAATATAAAAGATTTTAGTAAGTTTTTTGTTAAAAATAAATAATTTTAAAAATAATAATTGAGTGTAATGATTTAATGAAATAAATAAATTGTCAACCTTCTAAATAGTAGATTAGATATTTAAAACCTATTAATAGTAAAAATTTAAACTATTATTTATATAATATTTATGTTATAGCAACTGTTTCTAATAATTAAATTAGAATATTTGTAATTATAATCATATTAGCATAACTAATAAGTTATAAATATCTATATAACTGATTATACAAAAAAATACAAATTAGTATTAGATAATACAAACTTTAGATAAGTTTTTATAACTATATAAATTCATAATAATTAAAAAACAAGAAGTCTATTTAAAAAACCTAAACAAAGAAATAGTATAGTTCTTTAATAATACTATTGTAAAAACTAATCTTATAAAATAAATATTAAGGTGAAACCAGATAAATAATAATTGCTAAATAATAAGTATCATTAATTAAACTGCTGAAATTAAACTAGAGAATAAAAATATTAGAAGAGATGTGGTGATCTAGTGAAGTGATCAGGTTGTTAACCTCTCAAGTAGTAGGTTGGATGTTCAAATTCCATCGATAGTGAAAATTTGGATAATCACCTATGTAATATTTATATTATAGCAACTGTTACTAATAATTGGATTAGAATATCTGTAATAACAATTACACCAGCATGACTGGCAGGTCATAGGGCATTTGTGCAATGTTGGAATTATATAGAGAAATGCAAACTGACAAATCAAATAGTACAAACTCTAAATAAGTCCTTGTGGCTATGTAAATCTATTAAAATTGAGTAACAAGAAGTCTATTTGGGAAGACCTAAGTAGAGAGGTAACTGGATCTTCAATGGCCCTACTGTAAAGCCTAGTCTAAAGAAACAAATACCAAGGTCTAATACCCAGTTATAGTAACTAGACAGACAAAAACCTCTAGGTTGAAAGTCTTGAGAGTATCACTAACTAGGCTGCTAGAATGAACTAAAAGAAAAGAATATCAGACTAACCTGATATATCAATAGACTGATCATAGTTCTACACAGACTATCTGGATTGGGAGTTTGATAAAAAGCTAAAGGAAAAGGTAGGAGTATATTAAAGTACCAGAGTTATGCTATAAAGTAGATGCTAGGGTCTAAGTGAACTCTATAAGAGCATAGTAGTTTAATGGTCAGTCCTAACTGCAAGTGTTAGTTCTGCTATAGTAATATCTAGATTAGCTGTAAAAATGGGTACAAAAGGTTTTAGAGAGTTTACCTCAAAAATAAATTAGTTCTAACATTGAGATAATAATCTGAGCATCTAAATATGATCTAGTGAGTTAATACAGATTACAGGTTCAAAGGGTTTAAAATGGAATATCTAAACAGAAGTGTTAAATATGTCAATTGGTGAGGAATCTTTAGGCAGACTTCTTAAATAAGTAATATAAAAAAGTTACACATGTAGCCAATTGTACACTCTCTTGTAGTGGTTCATTGAACCACAATACTAATAAGTAATTAATAAAAGTTAAAAGACCAAAGAAGTCATCTTAATACCAAAAAAAAAAAAAAATTAGATTAATCTGATATATTAATAAACTGATTATAATTCTATCAAACTATCTAAATTAAAAGTTTAAAAATAATATAAAAATATACAAAGTATTTTGAATATGCTATAAGCAATATTGAAATTTAAGTAAACTCTATAAAATATAATAGTTTAATGACTAATTCTAATTGTAAATATTAGTTCTAAAGAGTGTAGTAACCTAGTGAAGTGGTCAGGTTATCAACTTCCAAGTGGCAAATCCAGAGTTCAAATTCCAGTATCGATAAAAAATTTAAAAATCCTCTCTGTGTTATAGTTAACTGTCTCTTGCAATTGGTTAAGATAAGATACCTGTTACTTATATCACACTAGCATGACTGGCAGGTCATATGACATTGGTGTAATAGTCACATGACATTGTCCTTTGGAACAAGGTCTGTGATTACATGAAGGAATGCAAACTAGTTCCAAGCAGTGCAAACCTACAATAAGTCCTCATAGTCATATAAATCATAGGAACCAAAAAAGAAAAATGAAAACCTACTTGAAAAATCTGAGTAAAGAGGTAATCCAAATTTTCAATAATGCTACTGTAAAGACTAGACTTATGAAATGGAACTAGAACTTGTAAAACTAGGCAAATGTGCTGGTTTTTGAGAAGAGATCAGATGAACCAACCAGACCACCAGAATTGCCAAATTCTAGAAAAAAAAATTATATGCCAACAAATATGTAAATCAGAAATGTATAGTTTTGATCTGCCTTTTCAGACTATTTGATTTGACAGTTTGGTAAAACTTGAATTGAATACCAAAGTAGTAGAAATATGTTGTAAAGTCAGTATCAAGGTTGAAGTGAACTCTATAAGGACATAGCAGTTTAATGGTATCCCCTAACCATCAATGTTGGTCTTGGCTATAGCAATACTAGGTTAGTTATAAGAATAGAATACAGAAGATTCTGAAAGGTTTAGTACAAGGTCAAAGGTTCCTTATATGAGTAAACTGCTTTAAAAACTTAGTGACTATAGTATATCTTCACTAGCATTGGCTAAAGTTATTAGTAGGCAAGGGTAGGTGGATGGATACAGAAACAGAATGGTTAAATAAGGAACCTATAAACAGGTTCCAGGTATGACAGCTAGTATAGAACCTTCAAGTGGACTACTTAAATTAGACAATGACTAAAGTTGTACAAGTAACTAGTTGAATACTCTTCTTATAGTTGTCTCCTGTAGTTGTAAAGCATCCATTAATTAAATATACTATCAATAAAATCCTGGGTTACAAGTACTTACCTTAATATTTAAAAAAAAAAAAAAAAACAAATATTAGTTCTGTTATAGCAATACTGGATCAATTATAAAAATAAATACAAAAGATTCTAAAAGATATACTTTGAAAATAAAATAGTTCTAAGGTTAAAATGATAACCTAAGCATAACCTAGTAATGTTAATACAGATTACAGGATCAGAAAATTTAAAATAGAACATTTAAACAAGAGTGTTAGATATGGTAATTAGTAAGAAACCTTTAGACAGATTTCTTAAATAGGTAATATAAAAAAATTACATATATAACTAATTGTACACTTTTCTATAATAGTTTCTTACAAAACACTTATTAAAAAAATATTAATAAAAATCAACAAACAAAAAAAGTTATCTTAATATTAAATAAATAAAAAACTAAAAGTAATGATATGCATTGAATATTTTGGATAAGTATAACCTTGAATATGTTTCATAAAACAAGATATACAGAAGGTTTAAATAAGCAAAACTTATAGTTTACTTGCAAGTATAACATCTAGTATAGAACCTGTATATATAGACAAGCTACTTAAATTAATGCATATATGACTAGTTGTAACCTTCTATATAAGAAAATCCTTGAAAGCATTAGTGTTTTACAAATTTAAATAAAAACTTTAATTAAAAAAAAAAATTTTTGAGTAAGAATTTAAATAATAATGAAGTGTTTTAATATGTAACATCAAGGTCATATAGAAAAAAAACATTATAACATAGGTCACTGTTTCCAGATGCTCATTACATGCTCGTGCTATGTATCGACAGTGTTGTCACTTGGCCACTTGGCCGTGACCAATGATACTAATCCACTTTATTGGAAAGATCCTTACCGAAACGGCCAAATATTTTGTATAGCAAAGCTAGTAATGCGATTGGTTAATATTATAAAAGTTAGAAACTTTGCAATTGGCTAACACTGCGTATCAGGTATGGTAATAAGATTTTGATCTTGACTAGCTGACCAACCAACTTTCACTATGTTGCTACGCCACGATAAATTGAGTTACAATGCTATCCGTATCGCGAATAATTGTACTTATTCAGCTAATAGAGAAATTTGCAAAAAAAAAAAAACATTATTAGATCCCTGCTCTATTTTTATTCAGTATAATGGTATGCAGATTTCGGAATTTTATACTCTTAACGTACCCATACAACCAACTATCTTTCTTGTTGCTAGTTTCGCAACCAATACGACAACGATATTTCAACGTGGAGCCCTCAAGGCCGTATTCACCAAGTAGAATATGCTTTGGAAGCTGTGAAACAGGGATCAGCTGCGGTTGGACTTCGATCAAATACTCATGTTGTCTTGTTAGCGCTTAAGGTTAATTGAAAATAATTTATAAAGTTCTTGTGGACGAGTCACTTCCATAGGCTTAATAATCTTCCATTTTAGAGATCGTCTGGGGAGTTAGCTTCCTATCAAAAAAAACTTACGATAATCGATGACCATATGGGTATTGCTATTGCTGGGCTAACTTCAGATGCACGAGTACTAAGGTATGAATTGTTTCACCAATTTGATTTTATAATTTATTTGTCTTAATAAATACGAACAAAATCGAATTTAGCAATTTTATGCGTACCGAAGCTATGAAGTCTAAGGTGATTTATGGCCGTCCATTACCTATTTTCCGTATCGTGTCGGCAATTGGTGATAGTATGTGTCAGCTCATTCTTATTTGATCTGATCTGTTTGAATTGGTTAGAATTCATTTGATTTCTTCTTTTCTCTATTTAGAGGCGCAAGTCAACACCCAAAATTACGGGCGTCGACCATATGGTGTTGGTCTCCTAGTCGCTGGATATGATGTAGATTAACTATTTAATTTGATTCAGTTTATTTGATATTTTGTTCTTTTTTTTTGGGTTAACTTTTTGTGATTGATATTATTGTAATCTTTTCTATTAGGAAACCGGTCCACACCTTTATGAATGCGCACCTTCTGGAAATTTCTTTGAATATTACGCGATGTCAATTGGTGCTCGATCGCAGTCGGCCAAAACTTACCTTGAAAGGTATTATGAGAGTTTCGCAGAAGGTATTCATTTCTCACGGCTTCATAATTATAGATTTCACATTTAGTCTAATATATATATTTTTTTAATACAGCATCATTAGATGAGCTTGTTCGACATGGACTTAATGCTCTACGTGATACATTACAACAAGATAAAGAACTTAACATGGACAACTGTTCGATTGGGATAGTTGGTGCAGACTGTAAATTTAAAATTGTAGAAGGCGATGAGTTAAAACGATACTTAAGTTTACTGGATAATGTTGAAATGGGTGATACTGTTCAAGGACAAGCACCTATGGATACAGAGTAATACTTTGATCCGGATATCCAGATAGATACCCTATTTTATAAACAGATGTTTGTTCAATTATCCGGTTTATATCTAGTTTATAATATATATTTATACATTTTGCTTAACATGATTTAATAAACGAAAACGCGAGTTGAACACGTAATCGAGCATTATAACTGCAAATGAGTAAATTTCTCAAGGAAATTTTTTCTTATGCTAATTTTTTTGAAAATAATTTTTTTTTTTTTTACCGAAATTTGATTCGAATTTTTATTATTGTCAATGAATATTTTTACAGAACATGGATTTCCTTTTTTTTTTTAAATATTAAAGGTGAACTTGGATTTTTTAATATACAGTAATTGCATAATAACTATATAGTAATTATATAGCTACTATTAAACTTAATAATTACTATATAGTTACTGCATATTAAGACATTCAAGTTTTTATATAGATTGTATCTAAATTTTATAAGTAAATTTACAAAAAATGTACTTTCTTTTAGGGCAAATTTATTTCTCAACCAGGGTAACTCTTATTTTCCTAAACTAAAATTTAAATATTTTAAAATTTTACTAAGGTAACCTGGTTATGTAACATATCAAAGATGTTTTTTACAATTTTGTATATAAAATATTAGGATAGGGCACGAATTAATTAATCAAAACTATGTTAATTAAATGATCATTTTATTATAATTAAATTTTTTATTAATAAAATTAAAAATCAAATTAATAATTATTTTATATAATTTAATTATAAAAAAAAAGCATTAAATTTAAAAAATTTATCTAACTTTATATTTATTTTTTTAACATTTTTTGATTAAAAATTTTTCAAAAACTATTACAATCAAGTTATGTTAAATTTTTTGGTAAAATTTATATTTATTTTAATTTACAAATATTAATAGAATTGTTTTAATAAATTTAATATTTTATATTAATTTAATATTTAAAATTTTAATATAAATAAAAAATTATCAAATGTAATTTTATTTTTTTATATTTTTTAAACAACTTGTAAAAGTTTTTAAATAATATTATGTTAATAAGTTAAAAAAAATTTTTTTAAGATAAAATTTTGCTTGTATTTTTATTAAATAATTTTTTTTTTAATGTTAAGATGAGTATATGTAATTTAAAATTTTATTAATTGTATATATTAGCTAACATCTGTTGATATAACAGATACAAGAGCAATTATAGAAAAAGTGTACAATTAACCATTTGTACAATTTTAGTCATTATTTAATTTAAGAATTTATCTGAAGGTTCTATATTAGTTGCTATATCTAGAACCTATCTGTAGGTTCTTTATTTAAACATTCTAGATTCTATATCCACTTTACTCTATTAATGACTCTGGTAAACTAATGAAAATATGTTATAGTTACTAAGTTATATTTAACTTTATACTAAATTTACCAGAGTCTTTTGTATCTTATACTTATAACTGACCTGGTATTATTTTGATTTAAATTATTACTTTTAGTTAGAGGCAATCATTAAATTATTATATCCTTATAAGATTTATCTAAAATTACAGTACTAATAGAACTTTTTAAACTTTCAATCCAAATAGTCTGATATAGTATATCTTAATATTTTTTTTTAATAATTCTGATAACTGGTTGATTATATGCTTTTTTATACATCTTATTATATAGTTTATTTATTTATATTTTTGAAGTTGTTTTATGAGCTTCTATTAATCTAACAGCATTGTTAAAAGTTTTGTACTATTTTTTTACATAAGATTTTTAAATAGGTTTTTAACTTTTTAGTTTCTTCACATTTTGCATTTAGTGGTTTTATTATAGATTTGTATTGAAGTTATATACAATATCAATTATTAATATTTCTTTATTTACATATAATATTACATTTTGCATAAATACTCTAAGTTTCTATTTAAGATAGTACAACTAAAGATTACAAATATACTAATTCAACTGATCAACAGAAATAGTTATAGTAACACAGATATAATTTTTAAAATTTGTTATCTGTGAAATTTGAACTCTAAACCTGTTATTTGGAGGTTAACAACTTGTTTACTTTACTATGTTGTTATATTTCTTAAAGTAATTTATAAAATAGTAAGAATATTTTTAACTTGTACTAGTGGTTATAAATAACCATTATGCTATATCTCAAAAACTGCACTATAAAACAATAGTCAGGTTTACTAAGTAAAAATATTCAGCACTCCTAAAAACCTTATAAGAACTAAGATCAGGATCTGATATCTGATCTATATTATGTTATTTAAAAAAATATTTTATATAAAACTTTTTATTTATCTTAATGCTGCATCCTAATCTTAAGTTTTAATAAAAGTAATTATTTCTAACCAATGATGCAAGTTATAATAATTCAATAATAATATATAAACAATATATATATTTTTATTATTTGTACTAGTACAAATAAAAAAAAATTATATATAAATAAAATATCTATTTTATTTGTTATTTAAACTTATTAAAGTAATCAAAAACATATTTAGATAATATTATTTATAGTTAAAATAAAGTTAAAAGTTATATTATTTAATTTACAATATAGCTTAAGTATTAATTTTTTTGAAAACCCAATTTAGTAATTTAAATTATTAGTTAAAAAATCAACTAGTTAACAACTTTCTAACTAATTGATTTAAAAAATTTTAAACCAACTAATTAATTAAATTATTAACTAGCTTAATTTTAAAATATTCTGTTTATTTAAGCTAACTTATATTGATTTTTTAATTTAATTAACTAATTAACTAATTTAGTTATATAATAGAAAAAGTTGGTTAGTTACAGTTATAGCTAGCATTTTTTTTTTCTTCATTTAAGCAATCTTGCTATTCATTTTTATTATAATTTTTTGCATATATATATACAAAATTTTGTATAATTTTTTGGTTTAATATCTTACAAATACTTCTATGAGCCCTATGAGCAATTTGCCTATATTGACTATCTAACTTTATAAAAAATTAGAGTATGTCAGAAGTTGCATCTGACTACCACTTTACATTAAAATATTGCCAATCTAATAACATCTTCTTGTAGAAAAGTAAACAAAAATAAAAAAAAACTTATATATAAAAGAATACAGAAGTATAAAGAAAAATGATAAAAGATACAATACAAAAAATAAAAAAAATATATAAAAAAAGCAAAAAAAAAATATATATATATAACTCTTGTCACATGACTATCAAATGATCATAATTATAAGCCTGTATTAAGCTTTTAAAAATTATAAACTATATTAAATAGAATTAACTTTACTAATTTTTTATTTATTTAGAATATTTAACAAAAACTATATAAAATAAAACTTTAACTTGAACATAGAAAGTTAGCATAGGTTACTAGTTAGTTCAGAAGCAGTATTTTACAAAGTTTTAGTAGTTCAAGGCATGTATATAAGACATGTTTGTATTGCTGTATTGTTTATATAATCCTAATTAAGAAGTAAATACTGCTAACTGTTTTAATGTTTTACATATTGATCTTTTGAAGAAAGTAAACTAAATCATCTACTTTTTACAAAATTTTTCTCAAAAAAAAAAAGAAAACATAAGGTGAACCAAACTATAGTTTTTGTGATTCTTAATCCTTCTGAAAGTTCTTTGTAGGTTTTATAGTTGTATAGAAATAATATATCTAATGCTATTGTTTACTTTATAAAAAATTTTCAGCTTTTATTAACTACTTTTTCTATAGTTTTAAAGCTTCTTTAAACTGTTATTACAAAGTAATAACTTCTTTTTTAACTCTATTTTAATGTCTACTATACATGCCTAATGCTCTAAAAAAGTTTTCATAAAGTTTAATATATTAACTATATTATTTTTCTGTAGTTCAGTATTTTGAAAAGTTTGGTTTAGATAATCATTAGAAAGAGATGTATTATAGCTAATAATTAATTAATTAAAAATTTTTATTAAGTTAAATAATAGTCTAACCAATCAGTAAACAGATTCTGAAATAAAGTAAAATTGATCAAGATGATTATAATTACAAAAATATATAAAAATATAATAAGAAGAATAGTAATTCTAGTGTAGTGATTAGGTTGGCATTCTCTAAGTGGCAGGTTTAAGGTTCAAATCCTATCTATGATGAAATTTGGAAATTATATCTGCATTATAGTAACTGTCTCCTGTCAATCAGTTGACCTTATGCAGCTGTAACTCAGATATACCAAGTTAGGTTCTATTAACATTAAGAGCTTGAAGCATCTATATAAAGTGTAACATTACATATACATAGAAGAATATATAACCAGTGTTGCATAAGACTTTGATGCAAACCTATAATAAGACCATTAGATATAGAAGACTAAGAAACTGAGATGACAGAAACTTATTTGAAAATTCTCAAGTAAAGAGGTAGTATAAACTTTCAACAATATCATCAGATTAGTTGAAGCTCACAAAACACCTTTATAGAAACTGAAAATTAAACTAAATATCAAATATGTGTAAAAGAATATATAACCAACTAGGCCATCAAACTCACCAAAGGAAAAGAATACAAAAGTATATTATATCAGGTTATCTGGATTGGTAGTCTAAAAGAAACTGCTAGTTCTAAGTTGTAGCTAATAGGGAATGATAAAAAAAATACCAAAAAGATAGGTTCTAAAGTTCTAGTAAACTTTACAAGAGTAGAAATAATATAATGTAACAGTTAAACAAGTAACTTCTGTGACTGCAAGTGTTAGATAACTATAATGTGTTGCATAAAACTAGGTCAGTATGTGTGAAACATATAGGTTCTAATAAGTTTCCTGTCAAGAATAAAGTAGTTCTAAGGGTACTAATTAGTATTAAAAACTTGAATAGGTGTAGCCTTAAAGATGTTTTTGTGATACAAGAAGAATTGCATATGCAGAGAGTTTAAATAGGCAAGATCTCTAGTTGGCTTGCAAATATAGCATCTAGTATAGAACTTATATAGTAATATATAAGTAGACTATTTAAATTAGATATCAAAAATACATGTATAGCTA